AAATTACAAAACTTAATGACTAAATTTTTTGTCACTCGTATTTTATCAGTACTCTTAACTATTCAAAAAGTTAACTCACCAAACTCATATCTCTTATTACCGTTCATGGGATTCAACCCTACCTTATCTATTATTTTATATTTCTTCGAGGAATACATATTTTATAAATTAACTGTAAATGACATTTTGAATTATAGAATTTTCTTTAAATAGAATTCGTTAATTTTGTTTAAAATAATAATCATAATTACAATTAATGTTTACAATTACTATTCATAAATTAAACATATAAATAAGATATTTTTTATATACATTGACACAATAAACTAGTTACTTGAGATCATACAATGACAAATAAGAAAAATGTTAAAAATCCAATCAAAAAACTCGAACAAAGATAAATACGAATAGATCTGACAACATCGAATCAAAAAATGAGATCAAAAGTATTGAAATACTATAAAAAACACATATCAGAGTCGAGTGACGAAAGATAACTATCCACGAATATAATTACATATCCAAATCCAATTTTAGGGTCCAAGACAAGGAAGATCATTACTCAATAGGATAACAATAAGCGTAATTTTATCTGTTGTGACATTGTCAAACCCAACCTTGAGAAAAAGATAAAACGAAAAGAACGGTTAAATAATCGATAAATAAGATCGAAAACGTGTCAAAAGATAAAAAAAATGTGTCATAAAGATAAAAAAATTGTGTCATGAACTTAAAATGATTAAAAACTGAAATAAAAAAATTTCAAACGGCGCAAGAAAAATTTAGGATTTTGCTTAAAGATATGAAATTTCTAAAATGTTACAAATTATTTACTATCGTATATGTACGAGACTTAAAAGAAAACAACATACACTTCAGACGACTTCCAAAAAAGTTGTCTGTATGACCAATTCAAATATCACGTCATTTATTAAAAGCAGAAATATAATATTTATTGATTAAAAATTTATCATTTAATTTTAGAATTTAAATCCCCTTATCTAAAAAAAAACCTTGGTCAAATTGTTATTCAAAGTTTAGCCGACGAAGCAGGTAAATCTTTTCGCCAAGGAAATCGGCAATCCGTTTCGTCACTAAAAATAGCCACAAATGTCACCTATAAAACCATCTCCCCCACCACCGTTCTCCTCAGACCTGCAACCACAAAGCAAATAATAAAAAGAACAACGACGAAAATCCGTCACCGATAAAAAGGCAGGTCTCACTCTTCTTTTTTTGGTGAGTTTTTTCTTTTAAGCAACCTTCTTTTCTTATAAGCCATGGACATGAAGAAGGTTTCCTGCGCCATCGTCGTTGCCGCATCCTCAATGAGCGTCGTCATGGCCGCCGGCGCCACCCCAGCTCCTACCCCTTTGGCAGATGGCCTAGTTCCAAGCGCTGCCGCCTCAGCCTTGGCACCAGCACCAGGCTCTGAGTCCGGAGCTGCTGCCACCTTGCCTGTGCTTGGATCCCTTGTTGGAGCCTCAATTGTTTCTTTTCTTTCTCACGTCTTGCAGTAAACTGATTAATGCATGAAAGTGAACGAGCGGATGTTGAAGAAGGAGAGAATGGAGCTTTAATTTATAATATATTTTTTTATTATATATGTTGTCAGTTGGTGTTCAATTGTTGAAGAATTTATGTTTATGATATTAAATTTATGAGTTTTGAACAATTCCTTCAATTAAGTTACGAAATTAAATCTTAAAATATATATTCGATAATTATGAAATTTGTATATAAATTAAATGATATAATATATAATCAGATCGGTTGATAATAGATTCAATAATTATATAATTTAAATAACATATAGTTAATTACATCATATGTTCTCAAAGTATGACATTCATTTTAAATTGGTGTCTAAACTTTTAAATGTCCCAATTTCATACATAAACTATGATTATCATTCGAAAATAATACTCAAACTTTTGAAAAGTTTAATTTCATCCCCAAATTGTGACCTTTATTCTAAATTGGTCCCTAAATTTTTAGAACATTCCAATTTCATCTCAAGCTATACATATATACTAATCACATCATTTGTTAATAAAATTGTTAGTTTAAGTTATATTATTATATGTTTGAAAGAAAAAAAAATTTAGGTTAAATTATGATTGAAACTAATTATATAATTAGATGGATTTGGGGATGAAATTGGAATATTCAAAAGTTTGGGGACCAATTTAATAAGATAGTAATAGTTTAGGGATGTAATTAAAATGTTCAAAAAATTAAGGACTAATTTAGAATGAGAGTCATAGTTTAATGATGAAAATGAAATATTCAATAATTTAAAGACCTACTTAAAATGAGAGTTATAATTTAAGAATATATACAATTAACTCAAAAAAATTATAATATACAATTTCAAAAATTATATTATTGATAATGCTTACCTTAAAATTTTATTTGTGTTACTTTTATTTAAAAATGTTATATTATTAACATATGCGTGCACACCTACCCTAAAAAAAAAATTTATGGATCAACCCGGGTGAGCACTGCATTTTAGTTACCTCTGTTGTAGCTGAAACCAACATGACAGTTCTCCAAGCTCCAACAATGGATCATCACCTCGGCTCCAATTTCAAGATCCCCGCCGGTTCAATCACGATCGTGGCTTTAATCTCTTCGGCCACCTTCATCGCCCTGTTAGATAGATTTCTTTATCCTCAATGGAGGAACCTGATCGACCGGTCGTTAAAACTCTTACAAGAAATCGGAACAGTCCACGTTTTTAACATCCTAAGCATGTCAATCTACGCCGTGGTGGAGTCAATGAGACTAAAAACAGCCCGCGATAACCACCTCCATAGCCAGCAGGGCGGTGTCGTGGTTCCAATGCTAGCCTTATGGCTGTTTTCGCAACTCATCGAAGTGGGCATGGGAGAAGCTTTCTATTTTCCGGGGAACGTTTCATTGTTCTATCAAGAATTCCTCGTTTCCATGAATAGCAGAGTTACTTCCATATGTTCGTTGTCATAAGCATCGCTTTCTATGTCAGCGCAACGATGGTTGATATGATACGAAACGTCACCGGATGATATTAACAAGCGAAGATTATTAGCTAGAGAAGGTTGAAGGAGGTTATCAGTCTACGGTAAAAAGGCAAAAGTTGGAGTATGGATAACTCGACTGTAAACTTCTTTTAATTTGAATAAAAATCATTAATATAGGTGTCATTAAATTATTGGTCCGACACAGTTTGATCTATTTATTTATTTGTTAAGATTTATAAATTATATAAATTTAACAAAACATAGTTTAATTGAAATATTTTTTATTTCTATTACGAAATAATGATAAACGATTAATTATAGTGAAAAGTAGTCAACAACAGATTACACGAGAGATGCCTGAATCATATTTAGAATAGGGTAGAGTAAGATTTAGGCTTAATTAGAGAAAAGTGTCTGGATCATATTGTTTTTTATTTAAGTGCTTAAATTTTTTTCCCGATTAATCTAAATGTCTAACGTTACAAAAATTATCATTTTAGGTGACACGATCGTAACATACGTTAAAAAAATCTATTAAGTAACATGTGCCACATTTATATATTTTTTAAAATAATATATTATTTAAAAAACATTTAAAAAAATATTATTTCCCAGTGCAATACCCTCGTGCAGTCCCTTCCAAACCCCCCTGTCTATGCAGTCCCCTTCCTTCTTGACCAAATCCCCCTTTTCTCCTTCGTCCCCTTCCTCCCAACTCCCCTGGTCTCTTCGTTTTCCTCCATATTTAATCCCCAATTTAATTTCCTCATCCATTAAATTTAAGGTTAGAGATTTAGTATTCCACCCATTAAATTTAGGGTTTATGTATTTCAGGGCTTGAGATGATAAAAAAAGGTGATGATTGGTAAGTGGGTGGACAACGGTAAAAGAGATGGCCTAAGATGAACGATGAGGATTGAAAATATGGATTAAAATAAGAGATTTTAAGATTTCAGGTTTTTTTTATAAATTTAAAAAATAATTTTTTTTGTGTGGTTTACATAACAGATGTCACTCAACAAATTTATTTAACGTCCGTTACTGCCTATGTCATAAATTCTAAAATCAGGTAATTATGAAAAGTTATTTGGGCTCAACAGGCCCAATAAATTTTTGAACCCCTGAAAATTTCCCACGACTCGTATAGCCAAGAAGAAACAGACACGTAATATAAAAAACTAATGGTACAGATTGTAAATATATAATATTCCAAGGGTAGTGAGTCAAGCATCAATAACTCAGTGGAAAAGCATCAATAACTCAGTTGGAAAAGCATTCTATTTAGGTTTTTTTTTGTTTAATTTTAATATTTTTCTGGTTCTGGTTAAGTTTTTTTTAATAAAGTTTGCTTGAAATTAGATATGAGGAAGGGATTATTTATTAGAATTTTCATCTTAACTTTTGAATTTTCTGTTTAATTTGAATGAAATTAGAACATCCAGGTTCGATTTTGTCAGATAAGATCGGCCAATTGAAAATTTTAGGTAAGAGATTTTCTTTATTAATTGATTTCTCCCATTTTTGTAATTTTTTTTTGATAATGCAGGATCTCCCAGGGCCAGGCTAAAGAACCCGACCCTACAAGACAACCTCCGAGGTGGCTCAAAAAACCCACCACTCTATCCCCCACTTTTTTACAGGATTCCCAGCCAGTGCGATTCGAACCTATGACATGAGACCAACTCATAATCCCAAGAGCCCTTGCCACGCCTGCAGTGGTTTTTTTTGTTGTTGTAAAATTAACCTTTCTATTAGTTTTTCTTTTTCTTTTGATGATTTAGGTTGCTTTTTGGGCTGATTACAATTGGTTTGCGCTTTGAAATTTCGGGTCAATTGGATGTTTAGGGTTTTTAAAGTGAAAACTATGTTTGGTGTTGATGTTAGCTGTTAATTATGACAACCGCATATTAAATAATTAAAGAAAAACCAACATGTGAATCATAGACTAAAATCAAACTATCAAATATATATGGAAGAAGAACACAACCGAACCAATTGTGTAAGGTACTTCTATATATCAAACTAAGACGATGGCTGCTCCAAGTGTTAAGGCGTTTCCTGCACAATCTACTCAGGTGTACCTTTACAACCGAGCTGACCAAGAGTTGAGCATGTATGACAGAAAATATTGGCATGGAGCTGGAAATCTTCCGCGAAACTTCAAACCGCAGACGACAGGATATTTCCAGCACTCGACCTACTCCGATGCCGAAAACCCGGTAGCCGCGGTTGTGTATGTTGTCAAAAAAGGAATTATGTGGCTTGTTGCCTGGAAGAATACAAGTGATGAAACCAATAAGGTATGCATCGATTCAATGTTATTTTGGATTATGATTTTTTTCTTCTTATTTTTTCGAGTTTTGCTCACCCTTGCTTGGTATCAATTCGATAATAACAAACAAATGAAACGATTCGACCGATTTTTACATAAATTTATCTCTTCCAACTATAGGTCTATAGCGAGATTACTAATGACTTCCATATTAATTGGGAGAAAATCAAAGAAAAACTGGAAAATGGCTGCAACCATGCAGAAGTGACAGCTCTAGGATACAAATCAACTCTTGACATTAAGGCCAACATTAAGCCAAACCTTAATGCAAAACTCGAGGAAGCTACTTCTGCTTGATCTCTTGTTATTGTGGATTTAATTAGTAGTATTGTTGCTTTGCATGCACTTCTAATATTAAAATAAGGAAGGTGGTTTAATCAAGGACTTGTGTTCAAGTTTTCCGTCATGGTGCTTTTAGTTCGCATAATCTTACATTACCAAGAGATTTTTTTTTTCCGGAAGTGGATTCCCACGTTTGGTTCACGGAATCTTACATTACCGAAAATACTCTTTTCCTAATAGTAGCATTTTTTTTTTTGGTTAAAATGGTGGGAATGTCATTACCTTCAAATTCTTAGGTAATGAACAATTCACACCACTTTGGACAAGAATACCCTTGGACTAATGATTTCTTTTTATAATGATCCTTCTAAATTCTTATTTTTTATACTTTACTCAAAATTATAAAAATAATAATAATATATAAAAGAGTTTGATTTACTAAAATATTAATAATTTTGAGAATTTAAAATATTTCTATTTTTAATATTCAATATTTTACTATTATAATTTTATGGGATGAAAAAAATAGTATTATTCTAAAAATGTAATTATCTAAAATAATACACCAGCACAAAATGATTCATGTGCCAACATCAAATGGAAACATCATCTGCTTATAGTTTACATGCCTCGAAACATCGTTACCACAAGATTTCGAGATCAAATGAGTCTGGAGACAGTGTTTTTAGACATTGTGGCTTGGTGTTTTTACTGGTAGTGAATTGTGATACCTACTTGTTGTACTGTAAGTTGTGATTAGAGCTGTAACGAGTAACGTGCAAGATAAAAGGAAGAAAATAACAATGAACCCCGGCGATTGTTCACGCAGTTCGGTGTCACACCTACATCTGCGGGGCCTTGCCCAGTAAAAGGGAAATTACTAATGAAATCACAGTACAAGATACATTTAGTATGAATTCTCCTCAAACAACCTTTCCTACTAGACGTGGTATAAACACTCTTTACAAAGAAAAAGAGAATCCCAAAAACGCATCATAAAAGAAAACTTCATGGTGAGTAGATTTTCTGGTTCTCAAGATCATGAAGTTGTTTTTATGTCAATTTTATTGGATCAATCGAAAATTACAAGGAAATTTATGTCATTTTTATATGATCAATTGAAAAGCAGAGCATAAAGTAGAAGCATGTTGAGAATAAGCAATCCACAAGACTAGCATTGCAAGATTCTAGGTGCTTCTCAAGCTCATTGACAACTTCCCTTTAAGAAGATTTGATGTTCTAAATGCATGAACTTCATGGAGGATTGCGGCTTCTCTAATAAAGCCTGTAAGTACCATCAATTTCGTATGTGCAACAACAATTAACGTGCAAGCTATAAATGCCAATGTAAACATGTTAAAATTTCTCTTTTAAATAGATATGTGAAAATTCCGTTCCTGGCTTCCTGCCTTGATTTTCTTGGTGCTCCTTTCTAGGTGATCGAGTTCCTAGAGGGAAGCAGGAGGAGCAGCGGTCGGTGAGTAAGTTCCAGACGAGAGGATAGTGTTTTGTATATTCCAATGGTTTATTGTGTCGTAATAAAAGTCACTGTCTTAGAAGCAATTTTGTCTGGATTGATGTAATCGTAAAAGTAGACATTGCTCCCTGAGGTTAACATAGCCTAGAAAGTGAGGAACTTGAACTACCTTGTGTTGCTCTATTTGACAAAAAAAAAAAATTCTGAGAAGAAAATATTAAAACTATTACTTATATATTCAATTAGGAAGATGACTATCCTTTTATAGGAGTGGTAGAGGGGTAACATTATCAATTAAAAATTACCCACTCGAAGCACTCCCTAAATATGTGTAATCAACCCCCTAAAACTAAACTCTTAATATTTTCATTACTATCAAAGATCTTTAAAAGTTTTAATTGATTCAAGGTTTTTCAATCTTATCAGTTGGGTTCTCATTGCTACATCTAATGGTGTAGCCTACATATAATGGTGCAGTACATTGTTCCATAATCCAAAGAAAATACACCAATTGGCTCACCCCAACATACATACCTACATATATAACTATGTACCCATGACCTCCTGCTCTAAGAGGGCAAATCAGTTGAGAAGCATATTCGAAAGCGTTTTTTCATTTGTCGGAGGGAAGCTTCACTCCCGAAAACTTTCTGATTGTTTTACCTGAATATGAACCCTCACTTGCATGTTGCATATATATATATATGGAGTAAGAGCCTGAAATGAGGGACTCTACTACCTGAGAGAATACCCAAGATTCAACCTTTTCTAATGCAGATGTGAAGGTCTCCGTATCTTGCCAATCATCAACGAGCTTCATAAAACCATTTACTAAGCCTTCCGGTTAATGTTATGAAAAGAGTGTGTCTGCTGCCTCCTTTTGGCCATGAAAAGGGTTTCCACCAGAAGGTCACGCTCTACCAACTTTAACTCACTGGCCTGACCTTGAATGGAAGTAAATCTGGCCTTAATGGCCTTGATTTTACGACCCATTTTGAGGCCATAAGCAAACTGGTTTGAGCTTGAGAAGAAATCAAGTACCTCTTTCGTCAGCTTGTTCCCACTCATCAGGTCCTTCCGCAAGGCTTCGGTATGGACATCATCCAGCAAGTCTTCCGCATCATACAGTGCATCTTTCAGCTCATGAAGCCAAACTTTGACAAGATTGCTGGTCACCGATCGCTCTTCTGCATCAAGAATCACAGCTTGGATTATGATGACGGTGCGTTTGAGGTCATCGAGGTCATCTTTGAAATTCGACCACAGTCCAATTTGAGAGAGAGCGATGGAGCTCAATTTAGTAATGAGCCGTGCGGCGATGTCGAAAGCAATTGCTTCTGCCATTGGTGGTTGAAACAGAAACAAAGGCAAAAGTGTTAGGTTGTTTGCAAGAGGAGATGAAATGAGATGCAGGTGTTGATAATACAGTAGTATATTATAGATTTTTGGTTGGAGTGCATGACCTACCAGCTAGGGAAGGTATGGTGTTTCTTTCTCCCACTATTAAATTGTTAGAGAAAAGTAGGCCCTTTGGCCTCAGAAGACGACATAGAAGCTTTCAACGGTGCAAGCCAAGTCCTCCTTGTAGTCTCCATGATTAAAGCAAATCAAAGCAAAGCAGGGCCCTTCGGCCTCAAATGTCAAAAGTTACGCCTTTTTTTATTTAAAAGATCATGACCATTCCAACAAATTCCCTATCATTTTCCATTGAAATGTTCTTTTGTTTTGAAATCAACCCGTTTTCTTTCAAAATAGGGTAAATTACGCCAATGATCAATGATGTTTGAGTAAGTTTTCGTTTTCACCATTATTGTTTAAAAAGTTACAAATTGGTTACTAACGTTATCGTTTGTCACAAAGTGGTAACTGACCGTTAACAGCCGTTAGGAGCCGTCACGGAAAACACACGTGGAACGTTAGATGCTTACCTGGAATGCCATGGTGGAAGAGTAGTACTCTAACGTTCATTTTCTTCTCCCCTTTAAATAAAACCAATCCCTAACCCTAATCTACATCTTTTCCTTCATATTTTTCTTTGTTGAAATTGTTCTCAAATCCTTCCCAAGATAAAAGCTAGCTAAGGTGAAGATGGAAGACTCCATTGAAGTTCCTCTTTGTAATTGTGGACAACCAGCTAAGGTGGTGACGGCTTGGACGAATGAAAATTGTGGGAGGAGGTTTTTTGGTTACCGAAACTATGGGAAAAAGATGAGTACAAAATGTCATTTTTTTGTTTGAATGGATCCTCCCATGGTGCCTCGGGCAAGATTTGTTTGCTTAGGGTTGTTGAAGAAATTAAGAAAAGTCGAAAGAGAAATGAGAAATGAGAGGATTTTTTGGATTGTTATCTTGATTTTATGTGTCTATAAACTTTGGGTTAGCAAATGAAAATGATGTTATTTGAATGGTGGATTAAAAGCTTTGTAATGGAAGTTTTTGTAATGGAAGTTTGTATGTGTTTCCAGATTAATTCTTATGGTTCTATTATTTTGTAATGGTTTTTCTTCCTTTGTCTATTTATAAACTTTGATTTTTTGCATTGTGCATTTAATTTTTCTTCATTTTGCATTGAACTGCAAGAATAATTAAAAAATGAATATTACAAAGAAATGCCAAAATATGATGTATTTCATTATTAGTAAACCGATACAAGTCAAAATACAAGTAAGAACAATAATTTGTCAAACATGCTCTAATTCAATATGGCATTAAGCCTAAAGCTTAATTCATGTCAAAATATGGATAGTTCATAAGTAAACTTTACAAAAAGAATGTCTATGCATCAAAGCCAATCAAGCAGAAGCAGGTATATGACAAAGTAAGTCAAGTTCCTAGGTAAACTACACAAAAAGTTCCATCAACACTACCCATTTCATTCTTTTGATGTTGTGTGCAAATCTTGATTGTGAGGGTTAGAAACAGAAGATTCTTGATTGCCAGGCATTGCATGGTCTGTTGTAGATGGTGGCATCATCCAACGAACTGTTGTAGGTGGATTAAGTGGCCTCATTGTAGGTAATTTTGGCCTTAATACTTGTTGACTTGTAGGTTGGATGGTTCGAGCTTGCCGTTGCATTGGAGTTGAGTGTTGGGATGACTGGTCAGGTGCATGTGGTTGGCTGGATCCTGATTCATGTTGGTTTAGACTCCTGTTACCGCCAACTTCTCCTCTACAGGTCCTCTTATTGTGGCCAGGTTTACTACACTTAGAGTAGTTTCCCATCGAACCTTTCTTACTTAATTTAGGTCCATTCTTATTTCCTTCATCAGCTTTATTTCTCCTTTTTTTGGTTGGCCTTCCAGGCAGTCTTCTCAATTCTGGAGGTAGAATAGGCTCCATTTCAGTGACAGGAGTCCATTGCTTAGCACCTATTAACAAAGAAGAAAAAATTTAGAAAATTAGCATGACATAAATTATTTAGGTATATGTAAATAGTTGAGTAGTTCACCTTTGACAGGACAAATGAAATTAGAATATATTGCAAGCTGTGTGGATTTGTGGTAGCATGTATGAACATAAGGTTTAGGTCGATCATTGTGTAGTTGCATGACTGCTACTGCA